AGTTTTGGTATCGGAGCAGGATCTGCTCACAAAGGTAAGACTGATTTAGGAATTTAGATTGTTCTTCAATCTTCCCAATCAACGCTGTACTACTACTGTCTCTTATACACATCTAGATGTGTATAAGAGACAGCCCCCACCCCACCCCGAAACCGCGTCCCGGTACCTGTCTCTTATACACATCTAGATGTGTATAAGAGACAGATACAGGCCCGGGAGAACATACAAAACGATAAACACCCCACCCCACCCCGAAACCGCGTCCCGATGCATGCGGGACCGAAATGACAAATCCCCCCGCCACGAAACCGCGCCTCGGTGCCTGGACCAACGATAGGCCCACGATCCGATCGTGCCCCCCCCGAGGTGCCACACCAGAGAACCGGGTCTCGGGGGACCGTCACGCAAGACCGGCGTTTTGCTTTAGATATTAGAGAAGGGCGGGGGCCTTGAGATATTATCATTGAGCTGACGGGCCCAAGCAATTCATTAGTAGTTGGTTTCACTTCTCAAGTTCCATCATCTGGATTCGAACACAGGTCTGTAATTCAACAGTTCATGGGTGTACCCACTGAGCTCATTTTTATCTCGACTCGAAGATCTAGTTGTACCAGTCAGACAGGTCGAGTCACACCCGCCAGGTGGCTGGTGGTTGCTGTCGGCCACGCCGGCTGCAGAAACGCCCCGCGCACGGCCACTCAGGTGCGGAGCTAACCCTAGCGGGGCGAGGTCCCGCCCACCGGATTCGTTTTTCTGCGTTCTTAGATCGACGGTCAGTAACGAGGAATCCGGGACAGCGGGCCGTCGCGCCTTGTAGTGGGACTGCTGGGAGCTCTGACCAATCAGATTTTCTGATAGGTGTCGAATCGGCGGGCCTCGAATTTTCTCGTATTCGTGTTTTTTTTTTCTTTCCCTATTTACATTCATCTTTCAATTTCACCTCACACTACCTACCTACGACTACCTACCCCGTAGCAGCCAGAATCGTGTTCACGAGAGAACGTGCGGGGCCTGCTCCCGGCCAGGGGACAGCCGGTAGTATCAGGGACCATGCCAACAGGACCAATCCCTGTGCCTCCCCTCAGGTCCCCTCCCCTACGAACATGAGCAGAGTCTGCTCAATGCCGATCGGGGGATCCAGTGGTCTATCTCACCGTCCCGCCGGTCTTTTTTGGATGCAGGCTCTGGCGAGTGTGACTTTTTGTTTCCCGCGCTTTTCACGTAGCTTGGCATGTGGCCATCTTTGTTCGCGCTTTTTTCTCGGGCGGAGGTGTTCGCAGTGCACCGTCGCCGTGTCCCGCAGTTAGAGGTGGAATGGTTTTAGTAACACATCGCGCGATTTGTACGTCGAGGAACAGTTCTGCCTGGGACGGAGGAATAAACCTAGTTTCCTAGGGGATTGAGAGTCAACTTCCTTGCTCTGTCGGGGATTGAGAAAGAACTTTGTACTGCAGGTATTCAACCCCACGAAGGCAGTCCGTGACAAGCTCGATTCTATCCAGGGAAAGGGATGTCGTCTGTTCAAGAGTATATTGACAAACACAAGCTTGCACAGCGCATCGAGGAGTCGGTCAATGCTGCTGTCCGAGCGAAGACCGATGACCCGATCATTTTCATCGTGAGTAGCCCCATCTTGCTGAAAGCTATCATGTCTATGCGCACCCTTTCAATCCCTTGGCCGTTGGAGTACCTCCTTGCATGAAGCAGATCGTTGTTAACCAAACTATTTAAAGATCTCCCTTGTGTTCTTTTATCTTCGTTTGTGCTCTCTCTCTCGTTCGGGATCTATGACGTCTGACATGGGGATAATTATGAAATGTGTGTGCGTGTGTGTGTGTGTGTGTGTGTGTGTGTGTGTG